GTTCACCTTGCAGTTCTGCCCACTCAGAAAGTATGCCTAACTGAATTAAAGTATGGGATGTCTATGCACAAAAACTGACTACAGTAATTTGGACAGTTTTGAGCATTTCTATAAGATAAACTGAATTTCCACAGTTATGGATTTACATGCAAAATATTCAGTAGTATTGCCCTAGACAGTGCCAATAATCCCTAATTTAATTGTAAGCATCTCAGCACAGCTGAGTGACAACTATAATGGAATCAAACTGAAAGCTTACAGTAGCCCAAACTGTTGGATTTCTTGGCTGAATGAATTAACCAAAACTAACGCTTAAAGTCTTTCTGTGAAAAGACTTTAAAGACTTCATAGTCTACAGGTAATTATTTTTCTTTCTTCATCTCATTCTTGTAATGTTACATTAATATTCTGAGCTGTGGTTTCACACTGCATTTTGTAACAAGCTCAAACATAAAAAAGCAAATGTTTGCCTTTAAACACAAACAGAAGAAAAATAGATGTTATTATGTGAATAAAGCTTTCCTGTCTCCCCAGTCTCGCTCAATCAGTTAAGAAACTAATATACTTGTTCAAAAAAAGGAATACTGAATCATGCATTGTATTCCCTAAATCCTGTCAAACATATTATAATAGTTTGTTCTTGACTTTTACAGAAGATCCACCTGACTAACACTCCATGTTAACTGCAGAAAGCAAATACTCGAGAAAAAGAAACACTATACCCTATATTATAGGAGTTAAATTCTCAAAGGATAGGTGTAGAAGGGAAGTCTCCACAATATGAGACAAAGAATGTTAACACAATGTGATTTCTTTATGACTCTGCTGGCTTTACTGGAAACCTAGCTGAAGTTTATGCACATCCCTGTATCTCCATATAAAATTTCCAGTTTTCTTTCCATTACAGAAGTGTAAGGTCTAAAACAGTCCCATGTTATACCGATTTTACCAAACTGGCAAACATTTTAATAAGACATCAAATGAAGCTTCAGAATAAAAAAGAAATAACAAAATAAAGCCTTACAATATTTGTATTGGCTGACAGCAATGTTCACAAAAATATGGCTGAAGAAATTCTCCTGCTAGAGCCAACCTAAGCATTAGACTGTCTGCTAGAGAAGGAGAGATGTGAATCAATGGGCAAATACTTGAGCCACTGCACTGCCAAACTGGAACCAAGAGTGACCAAGTGGGAAAGTACATTATAGTTACAAATATCTGCTGCATCCATTTTTAACACAAAAAATCTGCAACCAAAAATGGTTAGTTTAGAACTTTGTTCTGAGAGTTGGGAAGAGGAAAAAAAAATTAAGATCCTACTTTTCCAAAGATCTACAAACACAATTCATCTGAAATACAATAAATGCCACCACTTCACGCCAATGGAAATACAGACAGGCAACATTCCTATTAACTTCACTGGCTGATATTCCTACAACCTTTATCCATGTTTATAACTATGCATATAAATCTCTCCAGGATCAGGAACTTAAGCTGCTTCAGAAAGTGCCTAAATTGCAAGGAATAATTTTTTCATTAAATCAGTGATCAAAAATAGCATGTTCTATTATTGCCAATTATCTGTAATTAGATAAAAATATCTACTCATTGGGAAATTTTCACACAGTTTTCTGAACAAATTTTAGAAGATTTCTTGTGAGGTACACAGTACTTGGTATTACCCAGTAATATGCACTCATAACTTAATAGTAGTCTATGTGATTGATTTTTTTTTTAGGTCACATGACAATGATTCTTTTTTGTGAAATTAATCTAAAGTTTCATTGACCTTTTTAAATAAATGTAAGACAGTGAAATACCAATTTATCTTCATATCTATACAAATACCATCAACAGGCCTTAAAATTCAGTTTCTACAAACTCACAAAAACAGAGGAAATGCTGCTTGAACAATTAAAAAACAATATTTCCAATATTCATCAATAATCAAAAATCTATACCACTTTTCACCATAAGAGTTCACTTTAAGAGTCCTGGACAAAATTCAGTATAGCTGAAAAATTCAGATAGCATTCTAGATTTGTGTATTCCATACCCCTTTCTTCCTGCTTCTGCAAGTCTGATAAGAACACTACAATGAAAAACACCACCCTTGCAATATTCTGTGTAGATTGAAAAAAACAAGTTTTTTTTTCAACCTGACATGGCAATTTGTATGCCTTCATTGCTCATATTCAGGAGTTTGATAATATGTCATCTACACCACATTTGATCTGCTATTAGAAACAAAACTGGCCACATTCAAATGACATCAGTATTGCTATCGAATAATCACATGCAAACATTTGCTTGGTCATGTCCTTTTTCCCTTTTTTTTTTTACTTTCTGCATAACCTTTCATAGCCTAATCCCAGGCCCTGATCCTGGTACCACTCAGACATGCATGTGTGGAAATGTTAAACTGGTATTTTAATGTTTTAAACAGTGGGGTCCTGAATTGTACTCTACTGGTTTTATATGCTTTCCTTCTTTGAACACAGTTGTATTCTAGGGAGAAAATTATATAATTCCACAATTAATTCCTACCTGCTGTGACAGTGTGCCCTCAGGGTAAATATGATTTTTCATATTAACACACTGAAAGCTTCCACTGTGATTGACCTTAAAGACACTGACAAATTAATTACTCTGCTCGTCAATATGGTATGGTAGCTAAAAGATTTGAGCAGATACCCAGCCAGTCAACAGGCATGCTGCCATCTGCTGAGTATGACAGCAAGGGATTTGTACCACTCTCTCTGAAAGAAAAGCTGTGCTGCCTTCCAAAAAATATGTTACCAAACCCCTCATTCACAAGTCAAATAAAGACTGTTCACATTCTGTAAGAGAATGGGTAGTATCTCATGGGTTTTTTCATCCTCAGGTTTAAAACTAAAAAGGAGACTATCTCAGAGAACTCATTAAAGCTTTGGTTTTGAGTCCACTCCTAACAGCTGAAGCTAGGTTCTATCCAAAAAGATCATTAGATTTACATGAACACTCATGCAGTTCAAATGTGAGCAAGGAAGTTCACAGCTTATTTATTTCACTGTCAACCCTCAGTATTACTCTGATTTAAAGAGGTCTCCTCTGGCTTGAGACAAAAAAAAAGTGGTAATAATGTATAAGCTGAAGTTCCTGCAAAACAATGGTCAGGGCGCAGCACAGAGAAGTGATTTTTTAAAAAAATTAATTATGAAAAAGTTTGATATCATTCACGCAAACACTACAGCTAGCTTCTGGAAAAAAGCAGAGGTCTACCAAAACCACATAATTTTTTTTTCTTTCTGATTTTAAATAAAACTCCATCAGATTGGAAAATAGAGTAATTTCTACACTACTGTTCCTGTAATTAAAATTTATATCAAACTAGTCTACATAGCAATATATACACATAAACCCATATAATATACATCATATTGGTCAAAAAATACACACTGATGGGAAATACAGAACCTCCATTTTCTCAGATATGTTGAGGGATAAGGTGGGTTGCTCCAAGTCCTGCCCACAGCTAAAGAGACAAGCCAGTTGTGCACATCACCACCATTCATATTGTTACAGGATAATAGGACAATTCAGGCTGGAAGAGACCTCAGGATGTCTCCAGTCCAAACTGCTGCTCAAAGCAGCTGTGAAGTCAGACTTGGTTACTCAGAGTTTTAATCAATCTGCTCCAGAAAACTCCCAAGGATGCAGATGGTGCTGCCTTGGCTGGGCAACCTGTTACACTCTATGACTGTCCTAATAGTGAAAAAGGGATTCCTTAGGTCTTAAAACGTGTAGTATTTATAGTTTTCATGCTTCCTGAATGTCAGATATTGTAGGTATGATTCACTTTTTAGACACTCTAGTTATAAATGAGGGATAGCCCTCCAAAAGATCAACAAAATTACTGGAATGTAAAGTAGAGCTATGAGAGAAAACAAGACATATTGCTCCAGAGCACAGTTTTATTACAGTTATGGATGATTTAATCCAGTTATTCCCTCTACAATTTACAAAGGGGCTGATATCCTACAGAAAATTGAAGAAAACCTTTATAAACTCTCTTCTCTAAAGAAGAGACCCTGTATTTATTTTGATCAAGTATCACAGCCAAAGCTATGAATGAGTGGAATTATTTCATCTGTCCCTTTGTTGCTGTTGTGCAACAGGATAGGAGTAAAATCAAAACAATGCCAGAGCCCACTCTCAAGCAGTTGGGGTAACACTGGGCAAACGGAATAGGATAAAAAATGGATAATATGTTGGACACGCAAGTTAGAGACTCCTAAATTTGATACTGTAATGAGAAAATAGAAAACAAAAGACACTGTACAAGGTGGAATGCAGAAGTAGCTGAGCTGTTAAGTGCAGCCAGTGTAACTCTTAGTCAGCACACTTGCACTGCTTTGAGACCTGGGTGTAGCTATTTTGGAGGTCTTGTCACTCATGATAATCAGTGTATAACCTGAATAATCTTCTCAGAGATTAAGAAGAGCAGATACCACACCTGATAATTGCCAAGAGACCTATCAATTTACTTTTTAGAAACACTTTAGAACATAATAAATACTGTATGCAGTAAACCAAAACACCTTCTTAAAACATTTATCTTCCTAACATTTACCTTTTAAAAAGCTTCCTCCCTGCTTGACCTGATCTCAGAGAGCATTCTGACAGACTCCTTTCACAGCTATGAACCTACATCAGTATTTGAAATGTAATCTTAAAGAAGCACCTGGAGAATTCCAGTAAGCATCATCCTAAACAATTACTTTTCCAGATAAGTTATATTCTAACATCCAGCTGGAATTAAAATTTCAAATATGTGTCAATTTATAAAAAAACATCCTAACAGTGCCTGCACTTATGTCATGAGCTGTAACAAGCCCTTGGCTATATGAGACAGAACCATGAATATTGCAATAGTACCACAAATAGCACCACACTGCCAGGTTCTTTTAAAAACTGAAAGTTATTAAAAATCAAAGCAATTAACTACAGAAAACACCCACCTCTTAAACTCATTTTTCTTTGTGACAGTCCTTATGCAAAATTTTCTTTCTTCATTCCAGCAGAAATTTCTGCACGGAAGACAGAGATACAGTGATTCTTCATTTGGGGAAAAATATCAGGTGTGATGGTAACATTCAAAATCTTAAAATGGAACAGAACATAAAATCCATAAGAATGTTAGCACCATCATTTACAATCATGACCTAATCTTTCTTCTAATACCTGTGACCTTAAGTGTATATGACAAAGACTGGTATTGCAATTGAGCTTTTAGTAATGATGCCTCATTATTTTATTATTTTGAGACCCAGTCCTGCAAGATGCTGAGCCCTAAGAACTCACCAATGATCAGTAGCTGAGGATACTCCGGTCCTTTCAATTCCCATAAGCATCATGTTGTTACACTGGAATATTGCAAGTAGCCTCTTTACTACGACATTTTGGTCAATAAATATTCATATATATGCTATGAGACACAAACTAGTTTTGCCTGTATATAAATGTTTAGAGAAATACTATCAAAGTAAATTCGTACATTTGTCATACAGCATACTGCTCTTTGTTGCTTCTGCAGTATGTATTTGCAAAGTACATTAAAAATACATAAATTAGAAGAAATATTTAATATTAAACATTCTACAGATTCCTAAGATTTACCTGAGGACTTAATCAGCTACTTAGTCCAACTTCAATTGTGACTTGACAGGCTGCAAATTATGTATTTTAAGAGGTAATAGTCTATTTTAAATATCGCCAACTAAGTATTTTACTGTTTAAAAATCATATTATTCATATCGAGAAAACATACCTTCTTGATTCCAAAAATCTGTCAGACAACCCCAATTTCTATCAAACAATTGACTAGATTTTATCTGCACTAGAATTCTGAAATAAAGTATATTTCAACCTTAATTCTCCAAGTTTCATTTATTCTATATGATCATGCAATTTTAAGAAAACCAGAAAGTTTATCAAGAATAAACTTACTTTCTTTTTAATCTTGCAGAAGAGAATCTTAATCCTTAAGTTTTATGATATTTAAAATTATAAAAGTCTCACATAACCAAAAATACACTTAAAGGCTACTCTGCTGGGTTTGTGTTGTAATGTCCTGTCCATATTGGCAGCGGAAAATACAGGAAGCTTGTGAGCAGAGTTCCATAATCTTCTATGAAAAGCATCCTTGGTAGATAAGCATTATTTATAGATGCTGTCACTTTTACAAAGTGACATTCCTACATTTCACACTGATGTAATCTTTAATTACATTTTCCCATTTCTATTTAGACAGTGATTTAAATATAAATATAACTGAACTGTAAATCTGAAAATACTACAGCTATATTATGCATTAAAAATTACGTTAGCACCTAAAAGGCCAGAAGTAGCCCTGAACTTTGTCCCACGTGAGCAATATTCCTGCAATTCATTAAACATCTACACACCCGTCAAATGGCTACATTAAATTAATTAGTATTTTACTGATTTTTCTATTCATCTGGTTTAACAACACTAGAAGTGTTTTGTTTCTCTCATGTTCTTTACATGTAATCAAATACAACACATATCATAAAAGTTAGTTTCTGTATCACTGGCAGTTTAATTTTGGTTGTATCTTTTCCTCTCTCTTTAGTCTCAATGAGACATCAAAATCTTTTCTGTAATGAAAGACACATTTATCTCCTTCAAGGACATTTCAGCTCTGTAAATGTCAGCAAGGGTTCATTCTGATAATCAGCAGAATGCCTAAAATTCCAAATCCACTCTCCTAACTTAGCAGAAAATTCAGCACCCATGAAATATTAAGTGTAAGTATAAGACTGATTTCATGAAAAGTTTTCTTGTCTAGAAAAAATACTTGATAGCACCACAATTAAAAAGTTTTCAGATGTCACCTGCTATAAATAAAGATTATCTTTCTACAGATCCATATGTATGTTGTCCTTTCTCATAACTCCCATCAGTATTTTTGAGCTGTCAAACTCAGACTGCAAAACTTTGAACTTATTTATATATAATTTGGCCTACATCCAATTTATCAACTTCTGTGTACCCAAGTGAACAAGTATCTGTCTTATTCCAAGTGCCAGCAATACATCTTGCAATACGGTGTGAAAAAATCTAGTTGTAACTTCAGCCACACACTGAGAATATCCTTCACTATCTAGACAAGCTGTATTCAGTGTGTGCCACCATTTTGCTAATACTCTGTCACTGATGCCTGCAGGAAAGATTTTGATATCCCTTCTCTTTTCTGTCACAACCAAGTATTCACCCTGACTGCAGCCATCTCCACACAAAGAGTTCAAGAAGAAATGTAACTCACATAGAATTTCATAGGTTTTAAGGACGATTAAAAGCTTTGTTAGAGAGAGATCTTCACAATCAGGTATCTCCTTGCAACTTCAGGGCATACAGCAGAAATAAAAACTTCTCATGAGGACTTGAATTTTTTTTTATTTTTTCAGATACACTTTAACAAACACAATTATTTCAGATACTAATTGCTAGTGATTCTCAGCAGTCTTCAGATAGTCTTTTCTGGCAAAGAAAATATTACTTGTCAGGTTGCTAGAGGGGGAAGGAATAAATCTATAACATATTTTTGTTTTCTTCTTGATAGATTGTTAAAATAAAGTAGAAAAAAATTAGGTCATCTAATGCTATCCTTTTGAAATATATTTTGGTACCTTTTCATATATCAAACAAATTATTAATTTGTAACACATAAAAGTATCTGATGAGTTCAGGAGATCTGAAGGCTCATGTTTTTAGGGGCCTGGGGAATCACTGGTTTTATTTTTAACTGTACTCTTCGTATTTCACTGATTTCAAAGACAGATATTCCAAGCAGCATCAGGAAGTGGAAAAACATATTGCATCACTGAAGCTCCTCAAAAAGTTTGCATTCTATGATTAATTTAATGTTTCATACACACGTATCTATGATAGACAGGAAAAAAGAAGGGAAAAAAAGTGTGGAGAAAATAAAGGTAGGGAAAGTTAGAGAACTAGTCACTGAGGGGCTCTAGAAAAGATCTAAATACCATCAAACCTGCCTTTGTGGCGTTAGAATCTATGTTCTTTTTTCACAGGAAATTGTTTCTTGTGAAAACACCATTCACTTTGGAGAACTTGAAGCTTTCAGTGCTTTGGTATCCTTACTTAATATTCAATCCATATGAATATATGCAACTTTTTTTTTTTTGTGTTATTTCATAGAAAATTGAACATGTTTTCTACAGAAAAAAAAATATTAACTAATCTCCTTTCTGTATCTTTTATATTTTCTTCGTAGAAGCCAATTCAATAGAGTCTGTATCAGAGGGGATTCTCTTTCAATTTTTGATCCTGAAATGTCAATGGAAGCTTATTGATAAATTCTATAATTTCCTTTCCGTGTCATAAAGAAACACACTTTGTAGATCTACGTTCCACGGAAATGAAAGACTGTATCTTTGTAAAAGATACTGATGACCAAAAGGGGATATCTAAGGTATCCTAGCATAAAATATAAATTTTAATCCACTCACAAAAGCAAATCTAGTTATTTTAATCTAAGAAGAAATTCAAATATATAATAAAACACAGTAAGAAAAATCAGCAATTTTGACCTGGGAACACTACGCCAAGGACATGTAATGTTTTCAGATAGCCTGAAAGCAGAACAGTTTCTGCTCCATTTGTCTTTCAGCAGTGGTCTTAGCTCTTTAAGTCAAAAGAAACCAATCTTATAGACCCAGAGACAGTGAGAAAACCATGCCCTGTCCACACTTATTCTAGTAAGACACTCAACGAAAACACCCTCTCAAGACTGGGGTTTGGTTTTGTTTGAGGGTTGTTTCCTCACACTCATGTTTTGCTATTTAAGGATATTTTTAGCTCATTTTTATCTTTGTCAACATTATATGGCACCTAGAGAAAAAGCACAAGTGTGTTGGCCTTTCTGTGCTAGCTGCTGAAAAAGCATATAACCTAGACCCCAGAGAATCTAGTTAAGACCAAAAAATCACTAACTGAAAAGCTGAAAATCACTTTTATATTAATCTTGGCTATGCCATAAGCAAGATTACCCTGCCCATAGATCTTGAGCTTGAGTCTTCTAAGGGAAAAATAATTAAAACATTAACATAGTTTGCCTGTGTTAACACAATAGTTCTGTTATTTTCACTTGGGCCATACTCAGCTGTGCTGAATGCGCATCCCTGAGGCAGCCGAGTCACACTCCTGCCTGTACTGGGGAACTGACCCGTACAGGCAGAGAGGAGCTCACCCCGAGCCTCGGCTGGCAAAGCAGCGTTGTCTGACTGCAAAGGTACTGGCTGATCTAGAGAAAAGGAAAGTTGATTGCATGTTACATGTCCTTGGGAAGGCTTTCAAGGGACTCCTCAACGAATGACCTCCACCAGCCTGCATCTACACAGGCTTTCCCACCTCAGCCAAACCAAGGTCCACCTAGGGAGCAGAGAGATGGCTCTCCCCTCACCAGGGCTCAGTCAAGCCCTGACTTAACTTTCTAGGTGGGGGGGCGAGCCGGCGGGATCCCCCTGAGGAAACCCCTCTCCCGGCGGTTCCCCCCCTCAGCCCACCCTCGCCCCTTCCCGCTGCCACAGTGCCAGGTGCTCCTTTCCCGAGAGCCGCCCCTGCCCGCCCGCAGCCAGCGCAGAGCGGTGTGCCCTCCACAGAGGGACGAGCCCCGCCGGCCACTGCAGGGGGGACAACCCCGCAGTTCGGGTGAGGGGGTCCGGCGAGCCGCCCCCTGCACGGGGCACCCCGCGCTCCTGCAGCCCGACCGCGCTTCTGCCCAGCCCGCGGCTGCCGCTACCCTGAGCCCTGAGTCCCCAGCCCAGCCCAGCCCGGCCCGGCCCAACCCGGCCACCGCCGCATCCTCGGCACCCCCCGCCCGGTCCCTCCCGGTGGCGCTGATGTCACATCCGCCGCCCGTGTCGGTCCAGCCGCGCTGGCTCCGCCGTCTCCCGGGCCCAAAGTTTGGCGGTGGGCTGGCCGGGGGCGGAGGGGAGGGGCGGGGTGGGACGGGGCCGCGGAGCCGCTCTGGCTGCTCGGGCAGCGCTGGCCTCGCCCGCCCTCCCCGCGCCGAGGCTGCCCGCGGAATGAGCGTTCCCCGGGCGGCTGCTGCTGCCGCTGCCGCCTCCAGTCGGGCTCGGGCGGGCGGGCAGGGAGCGCGGCTGCCGGCGCGGTCGCTGCAGTGGGAGCAGAGTGAATGACTGAGAGGAGCGGCGCGGAGAGGCAGCCCCGGGATCAGGATGCGGGCGGCCGCCAGCATCCTCAACCTCCTGCTGCTGTCCTTGCTGGCCGGCCTCGATCCCTCCAAGGTAGGAGCCGGCTGGGCGGCAAGTTCTCCCGCAGCGGCGGAGCCGACCCGCACACGGCGTATGCGGTAGCGGGCGATGCGCTGGGCGGCCCCGGGGAGAGACGGGTGCGTGTCCTTGGCCGTCCGAGGGGCCAGGCGGGAGAGCTCGTGGCGAGAATGGCTGTCCCCGGCCCCGGGATTCCCGGCCCGAGGCGGGGCGGCCGCCCGCGGTCAGGGGGCTGCGGGCGCGATGCGGCGGCGCCCACGGCCCCGGTCCCGGAGCGCAGAGCGGGCACCCCCCGCACCTGCCCGCGACCCCCGCACCGCCACACGCAGGAGCTGCACCCGCCGCAGAGCGGGCTGGGCGGGCTCCCCCCTGCCCGAGGCCGGCAGCTGTCCAAGGCCGGCAGCTGCACAGCCGGAACGAGCGGCGATCCGTCCCACCCAAGGCACGGAGGCGTTTATAGAGCTGGGTGACTGCACCAGTGCCGGGGAGGCAGCGAGGCGCTGGGAGCAGAGATCGACAGCCTCCGAAAGGAAATAAATTTGTTTAGAGTGGAACCGGAGGCATCACGTGAAGACACTGAATTTAGTACTACAGCCACGCTCGGGGCTGCTGCAGAGTTCCGTTATTTTCAGCTGTGTTCAGGTGACCGAAAGATCACATCTGATACTGAAGTATTGATAAAAGCAAACAATATGTTTTAGCCATGCAACCTGGTTTGTGACAGAGATTTTAGATTAAGTCATTTAAAAAATCGGAATTGCAGTATACCACTTAAGAGCAATAATGACTGAAAGCCCCTAGGTCTGCAGCTGTCTGTAGAGCTGTATTTTATAGATGTAAAACTTGTCTCATTTTCCTTTTTGTGGTGTGCAGTCTTGTAACTCTGAACATTGAGAAAACATTCTTATAGTATTGCAGTCTATTACCGGCAGCAGTCCGTACCGTGTTGCCACAATTTATATTGTATGTTGCTGAATGTCAATTTAACGATACCATTTAGGTACCAGACAACCACGTGAGGCAATGTTCAGCTCTTCTGGTAGGTTTTTCCTTTAAAATAAAGGTATTAATCATATACAAGTATGCACTGAATTTCTAACAATATGGAGAAGATGCTCCTCTTTAAAAACATAAAAACAGAACCTAAAAAGGAAGCCAGTGAAAACCTGATTTACGCATGCAGTATTCTGACTGCTTTTCAATCAGTAAGTTACAGTGACAACTTAAAAAAGCAGGAGATGGTAGAGAATTAATAACGTTACCTAAGGAATCAGTTATATCTATTCTATTTAATAGGAGCTATTTGAAAGCATCAGCTATTGCTGTGTCTGTAGAGAGTCATCAGGCAATGCACACACAGGAGTTTCATACCTGTGCAAATAGCAGCACATGGTCACATTATAATTACAGGTTTCCACACACTCATTTTCTTTATTTTTCTGTCTTCTCTTACCCTTAGTGAGATCCATAAAGTTAAATACTTAAGAGACACTGCATGAAAGCAGGAAAACCAAAATTTGTGTCACTCTGTCCCCAGAAGAGTAGAATCACTAGTGAAACAAACAGCTGATAGAATTATTCTTTTAGTTCAGGCTCTGAAATAACAGTGGGAAGAAATGTTCCATCTTATGTGTCTATCACCATCCAGCACTGAAAACCAGGATGAGGCACTGGAATGAAGTGGCATAAATTAACTTTTGAAACTTTGCTTCCAGCCTTTTTTGCTTTGGCATACTGTGCAGAAGGCATGAAATGGCCTTTTATTCATCACTCTGTGTGACATTTTCAGGGATATTAAAATATTCTTTACTGGCTATTTTGACTTTGTTAAGGGTCAGGAATAAAAAAAGCTAAAAAGTCCTTAAGATTAGATGAAAATTAGAATTCTGGTGTCTATCAGAGTTAAACTGGGTTTTCATAAGCAAAAAATAGTGAAGTCAAATTCATGCTACACCACATTAAGCATAAAAAAATGCCATATGGCACATAATTAATTTTGTTGACTATGAACAATATATTTCATATTTCTATGAAAAAATATATCTGTAAAAATGTTTGCAGGCTATTTTTAGCAAAAAAGTACAAGTTCTGACTGAACTCTCACTTTAGAAATGGAACTAGTACTCAATTATTTATCTTGCTGTATGCTAAATTGAAATAGACTAATTTTCTGCTCTGCAGGTTAGGAAGCAAATATATGATATGAAGCTAATTGTAGAAAACAAGGGGATGTTAAATTCCTTCTTTGTGCAGTATGCTCATGATTAGACAGACAACTTTTTACATGCCCTTGACACTCACAAACTATTCAGCTTATGGAGATAAATCTCATCAGACATTTCAAGTATACACAATACCTTCCTATTGATGTCCCACATAATTTTCAGGTAATAATTCATTTTACTGATCAATTATTTTAAAATAATGCCTGGGGGAATAAAAAAGCTCTACTTAAATACCAGGCCATCACTGAATCAAGACTGCTATCCACAGGCACTCCTATTACGACAGAGATGTTATGCTAAACTTACTCGGTTATTTACTAATAGTGGAGTGTTTAAGTATCGCCATCTTATGGTAAAATATGTAACAAAAATTTATATGTAATTCTTCAGTCTCTGGAAGATGAACATTTTATTTCAACCACAGTAATTTATTGCCCATGCTTTTGAATTCTTTTTTTTTTTTTTGCTAATAACCTTGATATAGAATATTGACCCGGTGAGGAAATGTTTCTTTAACAAATTGAAGACAGCTCACTAACAATAAATTTTAACACACTTAGTGCTAATTACTGAGTATCTATTTAAGATACTTATTAAATGTTGTATTTGTTAACTTTATTCTATTTTTTCTCTGTATTTACATGGAAAAATAAAAAAAAAATATTGATGATATTTCATTAAAGGTCTGTTTCCAGTAGAGTGACTAGACATTCAGCAGGAAGCCAGCTAAAGGGAAAGAACTTCAATATAAAGCCTTTCCTTTGTCTTACTCTTGAAAGAATTATCTTGAAAGAAGAAACTGTTCAAGATTAGGACATTTCTAAGAGTTACTGCTAGATGGCATATCTGTGCTGTTTTTCTATACCTGGAGTTTTCTGTAATGGCCTTCACAGTATGTAATGTGGACTTCTTTTGTAAGGGTTGCTTTGCTGGCCGTCATTTGATAATCACAGTAGTATAACCAAGCAAGCATTTTACAGTCAGGTAAAGCTGCTCCACATAGAAATCAAGCTCAGTGTGTTTCCAAGTCTAGATGGCATTTTTTAAGTTTAATTTTGAAAACTTAAATAGATCTGAAAAATCTGTTCGTGTTTCAATGCAGTTAATGAACTTCAGGCTTTTAAATTTTATAATGCCTATATATCCTTCATCTGTTCATTTCCTTTATTTGAATTTTGCAAAAAATGTTTCAGAAGACAAGTGCCAAGTACAATCCCAAACGGAAGCTAAGTGTAGTATCATTAGGGACAGTTACAGAAAGCAACTGTGATTTATGTTCATTGCTTGGGATAACGGGATGTTTGGGGAATGTTAACACTAAAAAATAAAAGCAAATTTGAAAGCAGTCATCTATTTTTGCATGCTTAATTAAACTTTGCATTTTGATCTTTGGAATGGCTGTGTTTCTAGATTTTAAAAATTATGATTTTCCCACATAGTCAGACTATACAAATAGCCACTAAAATCTTTCTCTTCCCTGCATTTCAAGAACTTTTCAGCAGGAAGAGTGCCCTGCTTTAGTGCTGCTTAGAAATGCAAATTAATTCATCCCTATTGCAAGATTTTATAAGAATACTATGTACAAAAAAGGGTTACCACAATATACTATTATTATTGGAAATATGACTCACAGGACTACAATACACCACAAAATTTAATGGAAACCCCATTACCTACTTGGAAATTAATTGACCCTGTTTCCTACAGTATTAGTAGTCAGTCAATATGGAAATCATACATAATTATTTAGCCTGCAAGATTTAAGAATGCTCTAAATCATTAATTGCTGAATGTGGTCAACTCTCACTTGGTGCCTGTTCTCCCATTTCTGTGCAATGTGATTCAAAAGCCATTGAAGAACATCCTATTACTATGAATATATCCTGGGCTTTCTCCCAGATGT